TGGGCTGGGTGCTACAGATGTTACCAAACATCAACCCTAGGTACACAGACTCTGCACGTGTGCCCTTGTAGGGGCTCATCGCACGAGGCATGTACTGAGGAGCATTTCGGGGCAGAATGTTGCCAAGGTCGTCATCCCTTTAGTAGTGTGTGTAGGGGGGAGGGGGGTTGGGGTTACGCCCAACCCTTAGTGAAGCAGTGCCAATTTACCTCGAGTTAGATTAGCAAATAATACATTGGCCCGAATATTAGCACTTCTGGGTTAATGCTTCGGAAATGAAGCTAGGGCTAAAACTCAAAACAAGCGCTACACATGGGTGCCTGCCCCAGAGTGGATTGAGGCCTTAGTGAATTTGGCCCATAGGACATTTTTACACTAAATCTCGTTGTAAAAAAATGAAGGTGCTTGCTGTCCAATGCCCACCTTTTTCGCTTAAGTGAATTTGTGTTGTGTGCTTGTCTTGCTGAACAGCTGAAATTACTACTAAAATTAGTATTTATTTTATGTTCGAATTTTTTGATCGGAATGAACCTTACATTGATGCTCATTTACATTGCTCCTTGTTACTTAAACACCTAATGGTTCAGCAAGGGCAATCAAATTGCCATCCACGACTTCATGGTTCCTTTTGTCAATCTGTTATGGACATCGCTTTTTTTTTCTCGAATGCGCAGGAGAGCTGTGCGTGATTTATATTAAGAAGACAACCCTGCTACATAAGCCCTCGCCGAACAAAACTAGACTACAACCATCGACCAAATAAACACTCACGGTCATATGCTACTAAGGCCTTTGGCCCCCGCCATAGCATCTCTAACGTCTTGCATGAGAATGTGTGTGTTGGTGTTGATTTTGAACAAAAAAAGAAACAGTTTCAGCCTGACATCTTTATTCACTGGTTAGATTTTACAGTGTGTTGCTGCGTGTTAGTGCTTATTTAGCTTTCCATGGCCTGGAGGTGCCAAAGGCCTATTTTTGTTTGACCCACTGATTACTTGGTCTGACCCACAGCAAGAGCTAAATGCCATCCTGGGCTTGGTTTGTGGTCAGCCCAGACCCTCTGACATAACAAGTTTTTGAAGTGGAATCTGAGGAAAGTGGAAGCTTAACTCAGTGTGAATTTTTATTTCCACACGGCCCTTTGTACCGACTTATGCATACGGTGTTTTACAATATTTACTTTGGCCCTAAACCATTCAGCCGGCTCTGATTTTTGCTAATTAGAGGTTGTGGGCAAGTGGAAGGAGCATCCAAATATCTAATCTGTTTCACAGAACTCCATAGAGGCAAAAGAGCTAAGGCTTGCTGCTGTAAGAAGAACCAATGTCTCATCAATAAGGGTTCGATACTAATCTGGCCATGGAGAGGACAGCTCACTATCATGTGAAGGTAGCAAATTTTGGAGAAACTCAGTTGTGTGTGTCTGTTTTAATGGGAAATGCGTAGTCTTTGATTTTAACTTTGTATGTCTTCCCATATTGGAAGGTAGTCTTCTAATTGCGTTTAGTAGAACCTTGATGTGTGGCTTATGTGCTGTCCAAGTTATGCAACTGGATATGTAGCTTTTAGGTATTGTCTAATATATATCTGCTAAGGGGTAGGTGGCCTATGTTACTGGAATTCAAAAGAAACTACAGTCATGTATCGTGACTTCAGATATAAAATGAAGCAGCTTGTCATTTGTTTCAGTTGCTTCCATTTCAGTCTGAACTCTGAATGTAATGGTCTCTTTGCCTGTGTGATTGAGTCCTTGGAGAAAAGCCTCCAGGAAAAGAGTTAGTGTCGCAGATGGAAGGATAGTTTTATTTCTAGTTCTTGATACCTCGAGCATGCTTCCATGCAGGTTTATGTGATTGCAAAATCGCATTAAATGTGTCATAATGTGTTCTGTCTTTTCTAGCTAATGATCTTTAGATTCCGTTCAGATCAATTACCCTGTTTGCCAAATATTAGTACTTCATGTTGACATCCTTATATAACTGAATTTTTAAGGTTGTGCCAGAGCAAGTCTAGTCTTGATTATGGTTTTTATCTGTTGTGTATCCATACAACTGTGTAAAGTAGATTGGAAATGCTGGAACCACCTCGTATCTTTTCCTTTTATTTATGTTAAGATTACAGGGGTTCTTTTTTGACAAATTTCAAACTTCCGTAAAATAGGTTGTCTGAAATGCAGGAACCACCTTGTGTCTTTGCCTTTTATGCATGCTAAGGTTTCAGGGGTTCTTTTGTAACAAAATTTAAAACTTTTGTTTTCAGGCTGCAAAAGGCGCAGGTGTGCCTGTTATCTTGGATGCAGGTGGAATGGATGCTCCTGTCCCCAGAGAACTACTCGAACTGGTGGATATTTTTAGTCCAAATGAGACAGAGCTAGCACGTTTGACTGGGATGCCTACAGAGACTTTTGAACAAATCAGCCAGGCTGCAGGAGCATGCCATAAAATGGTGAGTTGTCTAAATCAGTTTTCTTTATGTAGTTTGTTTCTCTGCATTTCTTCTATATTCAATTATAACTTCTAATTGTTGCTCTTTTGTTTCTTTTGATTAGCCACGACTGGGTCTTAATATCTTTATTTAAGAAACGTCAATTAATGATGTTGTGTTATGGCATTTATCTGATAATAGCCATCTCTAAAGAATGTGTGGCTTTCCTTCCATTCTCCCTTCGTGTAGGTCTGTGTACGTGTGTTTTGTACACCTATTAGGAGTGTTGACTCTTACTGTTCTGTACAAGTTTTCAAGTCAACACTCCTACGTGCTGTCCAAGTCTACGTACAAGTGAATTTTGCGATTTGCAAAACTCTACAAACTTTCGATCTTTAGTTCCTACCTGCAAATCGGCTGCTAGTTACACAATGATTATAATTCAGGAAGCTCCTGAAGTCATTTATAGTTTTGTACACTTTTTTTTTGCGAAAGTAGTTTTGTACACTTTGGCTGCTCTATGATAGTGGTCCAACAAGTACTTTTCGTGAATGGCAGTGGGGAGCAGCTTGAAGCGAATTACAAATTAAGCACACAGGAAAGAGAATAATCAGTTAAATTTCTTGTCCTCAGCGATGTGTTGGAGGGGGCATGGCCCTCCCTGGTATGCACTAAGCATGAGGAATGGCCCTAAGCTATGTTGTTGTAATAATTCTTGCATTTGTACAAGTGAGTTTGGTGAAAGCGGATTTTTTTAATCTCTAACAAAACGGCAGAGTGTACGTATGCTATTTTGATTTGAATGCCAATCCCATGGCAGTGGCTTGTAGATAACATTGGTAGTACGATCTGAAAAATCCTCGCAAAAAAAAAGTACAATCTGAAAAATAACAACAGCATCTGATCATAGAATGGCCATTCGCCAAAAGTTCAGAATGTGTTCATGATCAAGGTTGGCCCATGAAGTCTCTGTGCTTAATTCATTGGGAAATCGGAAAAATAGTATCCGATGATTTTTGTTTGATGCTGTCTGGTCTGATGCCATAGCATAGATGAGTCTAATTGCTTCTTGTGTGTCCATAGCCACAATTTTATGGCAGGCAGTGTAATTTGTCAGGATTCTTGTGTGTCCATAGCCACATTTTCTTCCTTTTTACAGTCACAATGCGATGAAGTTGCAGACGTCTGTGTTGTTATATGTTGATAGCATTTGCCCCTATTCCCCCACTTCATGGCTTTCCATTACCATGTTTCAACAGTATATGGTCATATTCCACTTTGGCTGCTAGTTACACAAATGATTATGTTTCAGCAAGCTCCTGTAGTCATTTATAGTGGTCCAACAAGTACTTTACGTGAATTGCAGTGGGGACCAGCTTTAGGCCCCGATTGGATTGCTGGATCATTCCTACACTTGTAAATTTTCACACTTGTATCTTACCGGTCTCCAACTATATACCCCGACACCGAAGGAGGAGCTGTATTTTTAAATCGGATGGGCAGCGGGGTGTATCAGATACGAGCCCATTCCAGGTGTATTTGTGGAAACCGGCGTAAATATTTCGTCGCTGAAACGTAGTTCCAAGCGCGCGGTCAGCCGTCCACCGGTTTGTTTTACGGGGGTTTATTTTACGGGTGTATATCGGCTGGAAAACGAGATTCCAAGTGCGGCCTTAAGAGAATTACAAACTAAGCACACAAGAAAGAGCATAATTAGTTAAATTTCTTGTATTCAGCGACGTGTTGAAGGGGGCATGGCCCTCCCCTGGTACACAGTAAGCACTGAGGAATGGCCCTACGATATTTAGTTGTAATAATTCTGGTCTGCTCTGCTGCTTTTTTTGCATGTGTACAAGTGAATTTGGTGAAAGTGTTTTTTTTTTACCTCTAACAAAACAGCAGCGCATACATGAGTTATTTTGATTTGAGTAGCACAATCGAAAAAATAACAGCAGCATCTGATCACAGTGCGGCCATTCGCCAGAAGTTCAGAATCAAGGTTGGCACACGAAATATATGTGCTTCATTCATTGGAGAATCAGACAAATAGCGTCTGATGTTTTTTCTTTAACACTGTCTGGTCTGATGCATAGATAAGTCAAATTGCTCGTTGTGTGTCCATAGCCATAATTTTAAGGCAATTTGTCAGGATATTGAAGTAAGAAAAGAAGTATAGCGTAATAATTAATATATTTCCTTCTTATTACGTAGTCACAAAGCAATGAAGTTGCAGAACTGTGCGTTGTTATAGGTTTGATAGCAGTTGCCCCTATTCCCACTTCATGGCTTTCCATTACCACATTTTAACAGTATATGGGCTTCATAGTCCACTTTAAGCTGCCAGTACGAGGATTTGATTTACAACTAATTGTTTTCCTGTCAATTCCCTGTTTCTATTTACCTTATTGCGGTTTCTTTACTAGAACTTGTTGGAATTGTACTTTTTTGTTTGCTATAAAGTTTAGCAGTTTCCACTTGATATATTCCATCGGCGAGATGCATTGCTATTTAAATCTTCGACGGAAGCTCTGAATGCATTAACCATAAGGTAGGAGGACATTGATGCTATTTCCTGCATGCAGGGTGTGAAAGAAGTTTTGGTTAAACTTGGATCACAAGGATCTGCTCTGTTTGTCGAGGGAGAGGAACCAATTAGGCAGGCGATAATACCTGCCGCAGAAGTGGTAGACACCACCGGCGCTGGTGACACCTTCACCTCAGCTTTTGCTGTAGCTCTGGTGGAGGGGAAGCCAAAGAAAGAGTGCATGAAATTTGCTGGTACTAAAAAGCACCCTCCAGTCAAATCTTGGTTCTGATCTAGTATTGTTGACATGTTGATTTGAGGTTTTTAATTTTCTTGAATTTCAGCTGCCGCCGCCTCACTGTGTGTTCGAGTGAAGGGAGCCATTCCCAGCATGCCTGACAGGAAAACTGTGATGAGCCTTCTAGAATCTGTGCAAGATGAATAACCGTAGAAACGGTGACTTTAGCCCTATTCATCAGCAATAATGTGAGCTGTTAAGCTTCAATCTCCTCGTTCGGTTCATTTATCTCGGGTATCTATATATATTTGTAGCCCCTTGTCAAGTTATGGTAGAGGAAATAAGAGAAAATGGCATTCCTAGCGCCGTCCTCCGCAGAAACAGAATCGCTGGTTCAGGAGTTCTAGGTCTGTTGTTTTTATAGCCATTCCCTGTTATGCCATAGCATTTTTCTATTGTTAGGCATCGCCCGTTATCCTTCTCGACCTAAATTTTTCCCGTTGTTAGAAGTCATTAAACTTCGCAAAACCACCAGGCCTGAATGCAGGAATTGCTTTTGCTGTGAAACACTGGTGACGCTGAAGGGGGTTAGTAAGGTGTCGCTGTCTGGCTCAAATCTAACAAGTAACAAGCTCCTCCCGAACCCTCGTGTGCTGCCCCCGGCTCAGTAACGTGTTAGTGGTATAGTCTCTAAAACGGAAGCGCTTTTTCCGGTGCCTATCCCGAGCAAATCCCGCACCCTCGAAATAAAAAAGGACACCTGAATGGTTTCACTTCAGAGAGATAGAATGAACAGTTTCAGGTCTGGCCTCGCGCTGGAGCTTTCCGAACTCTGACGGCGACTCCGGCGCAGGTCAAATCATAATCTTATTGTTGAGCCGGGGCAGATGTTAACCGCTCGCTGCTATCGATAACCACCATCCGTCTTTTTCGATCCAGTCGTGGCTCGGTGCCGATCGCCGTTGCCGCAGGCCCATCGGCGCGGTTCACTCCCTGTCACCGCCAACGGTGAAAAGTCTCGCCGCTGCACCGTCGCCACCGGAGAAACGACGCACGGCTCGACTGATTGACTGCTAGCTGAGTAGATCGTCCAGAATCCAGTAGCCTGGCAACGTTTTTGCAGCTTCCGGGGGATCTGATCTGATCTGATGACGTACGCGTCGTCGAATCGGACGTTCGATGTGCCTCGCCGTACGACGAAGACGGCCAACATCTTCTTGATGAGCCCAGCGACAGCAAACGTTTCTCTCGGCTTTCTGTTTTTTCCTTCTCTTCCCAACTTCCTTCCTTTGTTTCGCTTTCCGGGAGTATCACAGAACGATCGTCCTTGGGTGGGAGATGATAATATGTTTGTGCTTCTGGCTACTGCTGTGACGGAGCCATCGCATTGCACGGCCGCTCGCAATTAAGCTCGTCCGGGACGGTACCGCGGCCGATGGCGTCGTGGTGGTGGCCACTTTGAGTCTTCCTCAAGGCTGCAACCTGAAACGAAACCAACGGATGGATGGATGGATTATTATCTATATCGTGGTCGTGGATCGCTCAACAAAGGTGACGTCGCTTTCGCAGATGGCTTAGCAATCCAGCTTCCTCTCGCAATGCAACACCGTCCGGATAGTTAATGCACGTGTCTTCTCACGTCTAATGAATCCATTTATATATTTATTTATTATATATATGTGGTAGCTTTGCATATGCTTCCGTGCTGCGATCACATACCTCTGCAGCAGCACGAGAGTCATAGTACCATTATGGACGACCAAGGGGAAAGACATACCCCCTACGTGCTTGACCGTAGCAGAGATATACGTACGTCCATCTCGATCTTCTCGGATCTCGATCCCACTGGTATTTTCTCTTCTTTTGGCATGACTCAGAGCAGAGTCAGAGTCAGAGTCAGAGTCAGATTGGCCGGGCCGGTCAAGAAGTGCGATATATGCGAGACCGACCTTCCTTTCTAGCAGAGCAGCCGGCCTGCCATGTCGTTTGGAAGTATGCAACGGTGCGATGGCCGTTGCGGAGCGGAGTTATAACGGTGGTCTTGACTTCCCTTGCGTTCAAAGCTACTCCTACATGCCTCTGTCCAACCATTTTGTTCAAGCTAAGCTAATCAATGCACGACGTGACGCCTGCGGTCCATCCTGCTCCTTTTATATACTCTACTCCTCAAATAATTGTCCAACTTACTTCATACGGTTCGTTTAGAGCAACTTCAATGGGATGACCCATTTCGTTCGCCGTCGTCTGTTTAGGTCGGCGGACAGAAAAGTCGGCTCAACGCGCCGATCCAAACGGACGCGCGTCCGCTTTCGTCCGCCTGCCGACCCATTTCCGGCCCATTTTTGAGCCTGATTTGCGTCGGGGCGAACACAAGACGGACGCGCGCACGTTCGCCCTCTCTCCTTCCCGGACCCACTGGTCTGTGGCGCACACCCTCCAGCGCCTGCTTCGTCGCCGACGTCGCCGGTCATTTTTTCCGATGAAAAAGGATACATAGATAGTTCTTGCATACACAGATAAAAAAAATCAACTACTCGTCGATTTTCGACTCCGACTCGGTAATGTCCTCCTCCAACGTCTAAATGTAGGCGTCAGCAGCCTGCTCGTCCTCGAAGTCCCACCCCGATGTTTCTCGCAGCTTCAATCTCAACTGAGAAACCTACTTCCGTGCACACTTGTCCTCCCGATAGGCGGCTCGCTCCGTCCTCGTTGCCTCCCTCTCCGTCCTCCTTTGCTCGTAGAACTGACGCTCATTGACGATGTCGTGCGGGAAGCGTTCGCGCCACACCACCCAGGCTTCCACGTCCATCTCGGCGATGGCGAGGCGACGCTGCCGCCTCCGGTGGTCGCGACGATCCTTATCGGTGAAAAGCCGCGGGAGAGGCGCCAGATCATGCGCCCGCTGGCTCGACACGTTGGGAAAATTCATCGCCCGACTAGGCCGCCGGAGGCGCCATGCCGCCGCGTTATACGCGCGGGCCGCCTGCTCTGCGGTGTCGAAGGTGTTGAGGATGAGGCGTTTCTCGCCAAACAAGATCTCGACAGAGAATGCGACATAGGGGCGCTCGCGGACTCCGCGAAAATCCGAAGCGGCGAGGCGGCGCATCGAGATGGTGGCGCAGAGGCAGCGAGGCTAGTGAGAGGGGGCGAGACGAGTGGGCGGCGGACTGAGTATGGAGGGAGCGCCTTCTTATAACGAGCGCTAGCCGCGACGCGCCAAAACAAGCGCGCGAACCTTTCCCGCGCTCGGGAGCGCCAAAACCAGCGCGAGCTAGGCCGATTTCCCCCCGCGCGCGTGAACCTTTCCAGCGCGCTGGAGCGCCAAAACGAGGGCGACGACATGGCCGCTGGCACGGCGCGTTGGACGCACTGCCGATCCAAATCTAAAAAAGGACGGTTGCCGGGCGGGCGACCGATCCAAACAGACAAAAGGCGGACAAAACACCGTCCATTTGTGTCGACCCGTTGGAGTTACTCTTACAGACGCAGGAAATGTATAATCAGTTTCGCTTTGCGTATACGGTCTCTGTACGTTAGTAAAATCCTGCATCCAATATTGATCTGCCCACTTGATCCAAGGGTGATGGACTACTGTTGTACGCCCATAGTCCGAAAATTCATCGTACGTGTATCGGGGCTCATGGTCATGGACAAAAGAAGACGAAGATAACTCACGCACGCTACCGGAACAGGGCTCTAAGCCGACGGCCAAATGTATGCCGACGGCCACCGTCGACCTCTTCCAAACTATGCCGACAGCTGGCCCCAGGCCGTCGGCGTACAACGGCCGTCGGGCTATTCCAGTATACGCCGACGGCCCCCGTCGGGAAAGAACGGCCGTCGGCTTAGCCAGATCTATGCCTGCCGTCGGCATATATGGGCTGTCGGCATAGCTGCGGGCCTAGCGACCACGCCCGTGACAGGCGGCTAACGGCGTCGGATCTATGCCGACGGCCGAGACGGGCGGCCGTCGGCATAGATACGGGTGCCACATCATCGATCCAAAGCGCACCGACCAAGGCCTACGCCGACGGCTGCCGTCGGCATAGATGACACGTCATCGATCCGCACCACGCCGTCCATCTGCCCTGGTAGCTGTCGGCATGTCTATTTTTTTTTTCATTTTTTTGCATAGCTATATTTTTATGTTTTTTACGTATTATTATTTGACTAACTTACATGTAGCATTTGTTAATATATATAAGCATACATACATTTTCTCGATTCTATACGAAGGGGTGTGACCCCCCTCACGGATGGTGCCGACGCCGGCCGGCACCTGGAGTGGGGAAACAACCGCATCGGGTCTATACGGAGGGGATGTTGCTCCCAAGTGTTTCTGTATATGGGTTGATCTACCACAACCGGTTAGTGTGGTGGCATGTCTGAAGAGGCGGCACACGTCTCCGGGGTGTGTCCCCACTCAGGGACGGCACCGCCGGCGGCACCTGGAGGGGGGAAACGGACGCGTCGGGTCTAAAGGGACGGGATCTTGCTGTGGGTTTGGCCCGGATGTTTCTCCCAAGTGTTTGTATGGGCTGACCTAACACAACAGGGTGGAGAGGTCCACTGGTCAAAAACCGTCCGTGGAAAGTCAAAAGGCTAGATCTCGTGGTCAACCGCTCCAGGGTTAGGCGAGACGCCCCCCCTGGGAGGTAGCAATGCCACCGGAGCGTCGCACCGGCCCTCATACATGCCGGG